TGTCCTTTTTCAGAAGTAGTTATTTCTTCATAATTTTCTTGGACCTAATGAATACTATAAGTGTATGCACAAATCATTTAAAGGTGATGAAACTAAAAATTGTTCTCACCATTGGATCAATCTTGCCATTTTTAGAAATCCCAATTTCATCATCGTTCATTACCGTCTCTTTTACGTTTCCAATAATCGCATTGGTTATTTCGTCCAATGCTTTCGACTTAGATACTTGATCTCGCATGGTCTAAAGGTAGTTGTTATGTTAACATTACTCTAGGTACGGATTATCTATAGAAAGAATAGAAAGACCTGTTTTTGCCGAATATCAATCTAATTTTCCCTCTTCTCAGAAAGATTCATGAAAAAATTTTTTTCGTCTATAACACTATTGATTAATTTTTGAAAGTCGAGATTTATTAGCAAAGGTTTACCTTCATAGCCATCCTTAGCTTTTTTGCATATTCAGTTACGTATTTGGGGTAACTGTAATTCTCGTTTTTCTCGATGAAAGTCAGTGATCTACAAAAGGACCTAAATAATTCTGATGCGGTCAAAAGTGGGCTGGACTCTAATTTGGTATTCATATATACATTAAGAAGGTGCCATTCCGACACTGGGTTAGTAGAGAAATAATCATCGATTTCTGCATGCGTGGGGACTTTATAATCCATGATTAACTAGTCGTAATATAGAAGTATATTTCGACTTAGCACGGAAAGGTAATTGATTACTGAAATAATAACTTTTTAAATGAATTTGAATTTAAACTTTTAAGCGCTGATTATGTTGTGATAATGATAAGTGTGAAAGCGAAGAAGAGAGAAAGTACTGTTTACCAGATGTAATGATAATCAACGCGACAACGCGTCTTAGCGCACAAGTTTTATTTCATCACGTGCAGATCATACGAAGAAAAAGTAGAAAAGTTTTAAGCACCACTCCAGTTTCTAAAAACTCATCTTATAGGGTTTTGGCTAAATATCACTGCCTTTCTACGAGGGCCTCGCAGAAATGCTCGCCTTTACACCATCCCTACGCTTTGGACCTAGGAAACTACCTCCAAAGTTTATGACTCGTGGAATCCACTCTCGGGAGGTGTATCGTAGAAATAGATGAGGGTCTCGCAGAAATGCTCACCCCTTACACCCTCCCTACGCCTTGGACCTAGGAAACTACCTCCAAAGCTTATGACTCGTGATTTCACTTTCGGGAGGTGTATCATCAGTGATAAACCGATCACAAAAAAAAGAGATAGCTAAGTTATATTATAATCTTTATGTGATAGTTCTAGATCTTTAAATTTTATTCTCACGAATCTTTATCATTCTTGTAGAAAAAGCAAGATATCTATTACTGATGGTTATATTCTTAGCCCTAACTCTCTACTGTAATGCACCAAATTCCGGACGAGTCGATAAGGTATGAATATTTTTTTCAGTCGTGGTTGTACATTTGCAAGGAAGCAACTTCTGGACTTGCAAACTAATGACTGTTTTTTCGTACAGAATTCCCAAAGAATTTATTAGCATCACGAAGGGTTGACTTTCGGCGGGGCTTTTTACTAAGGTCAATATTGTTAATTTATTTGACTCTGCATGTTCTATGCATAACTGACGATTATTTTATTCTATCCAGAATATCGATGTACGAACGAATTAAACCCGGATACAGTAATGGAGTTAATGTTTGGATGTATTGGTATATAGATAGCTTAGAGCCTTAGATGAACGAAACTCGGCAGACATTAGTATAGAAACGTCATTTCACATTGTAAAACAAGTTTATGTATTACCGAATCTTGTAATTTATATTTATCAATAAATCAGTAATTCCGATGAGGATATTACTCTCTTTATCTATACTAACGAACTTTTGAATTATTCCATTTTATATAAAAAAATTATTATCAAATATGCAATCCATTGATTCATTGAGAGAATTAAATGCCAAGCTCTTAGCTGAAATTGCCGAGCTTAGGAAGGAGAATGTTAAGATTTCTGAACTTAAAAAAAGAGAATGCTGAGATCCCTGATCTTAAAAGGAAGTTTGCTAAGATTGAGTCCAAGAAAGCTGAGCTTAAGGCCAGGATTGCCAAGCTTCTAAGACAGGTTGTGGAAGAGAGTAAGAAAACGTGATGTTGAAAATGCTGAACTTAAGGTCAGAATCATAAAGCTAGAGAAAAATAGGACAGTTATCATTAAACTTGAATCTGAGAATGCCAAGTTTAGAGATAGAATCACAAAAGTAAAACAAAAACAGTTGTAAAATGATAATATAACCAAGGTAACCAATTTTTCTAATAACAGTAATAACAGTTCATCTAACTTCAATTTGGTGGATAAGAAAATGGAACTTTATTACTTAAAAAACTAATAGTAAAGGTGATTATAAAGCAATTAGCATCAGTTATTAATATATTTATTATAGACTAATGTGATTAAAAGTTCTTAGATAAGAAAATTGATACTTTTTTAGATGAGGTATATAAAAGAAAGGTTAATAGTAAGATTAGATAGAGAAAGCAGAAAAAGAAATTTCAAGAGAAAGAATTGGATTTAGAGATACTTGTAATTTTTCTAAATTCTGCTACTTTTTTAAACAAAAAAAATTAAATAGAATTGTTCTTTTGTAATAAATAAGCAAATATCATTCAATCAAAAAATCCTTATAAATAGAATATAAAATAAGATTTGAAATATAAGTTATTTACTTGAAAGGTAAAGGATTAGCTTTATAGAGTAAAGAGGTTCTTTGGAATTAGTTAAATCACTTGATATACAGATTTTCAAATTCTCTTTAGAAGTGATTCTAATAGAATCTAGTAAAATTATAATAATTTATTTAATATAGTAATACAATAGTTGAAATCAAAAAAATCAGATATGCGAAAAATTGGCCTAAATTTGATCTAAATTTGGCAAATTATCAAAAAATCAGCCTAGCTAATTGGTATACACTAGAAATTGGCCAAGAATCAGCTGAAATTTAACCTATTTTATTTATAGCCAATTAGCATACTTATTGCTGATTGGTATACGTCAAAAATCAGCTAAAATTTGACCTATCTTATTTATAGCTGATTGATGTCTGATTTACATCTGATTAATATACATCAAAAATAGACTAAAATATTTTAAAATAAAATAAAATTTAAAAGAAAATATAACTGATATTTAGGATTAATAGCCAAATAATGCTAAAAACATTCAATTTATTTTTACAAATGGTATTTTCTATTAATTGGATTAACAGCCAAATATTCTTTTGCATTTCGCCAGGCTGAAATTTAATAGTTAATCGGTATAAATTGACCCAAAATATGATGAACTGGTATTGTACAATTACGATTTTCCAGATAAAATTCGGCATCCCATAATTGGACATTACATTTTCTTCTTTGCTAAAATAATATCGCATATTTGGAGAACTTGCAGGTTTATGCCAATGAACAAATGCTAGAAAATGTTCAGCCTTTCCAATGGCAAACCGATTTTATGTGTAAAATAATATTAGATTTGGCTAGGATAACAATCGACTGTACCATCATTTGTAATAAATTTGGTCAAAATGTACAAATTTTTTACATATCACAAAGACATTGATGATCTAAAGATTTCAGAACTAATTCAGCACCTTCTAAATTGATTTATTGTGACTTGAATTATTATACCATCTTCTGAATCCTTATTGAATAGCTTCCTAAAATTAAACGTGATATAAGTCACATTGTAGTATTCAACTATTAAATCAAGTATTTCACTTGAAATAATTATATTATCAGATGATGGTTTAAGGAATTCGTTGGGAAATAGTTCACTACCAGTAATATTTGATTCCTTAATATTTTGTGAATTCTTCTAAAATTAATGGATTTCGTCAGAAGAAAATTCATCTGTATCTGAAAGGAAACTAATTGAAGGCTGATTGTCTAGCAATTCAAGCCCTTTTACCTCAATACCATCAGAACTTGTAATACTGTCAATTTGAATATCAAATATCAATTGACGCATTAGCTCAGATTCAATTTTTTTATACTATTCAGTAAAGAATCTAAAAATCATTCATAAATTAGTAAGCTGATTTATTCAAGAAATTCTCAAAAAAAAATACCTAATATTCCATTCATGCGTTCAAAAAAAAACACCAAAATGCATATAACAGATTATAGTCTCTTGAACAATTATACAAATGAAGAGAAAGGTGAAGATTTAATATGATTTTATTGCGTCAATAATTATTTTCAATCAACTTCACCATCTCAATTAGTCTTTAATGTGCTTTATGTAATAGATCTGATTCTACAATTCAGCTTACTAAAATTGTATAATCCTTATGAAATATGTAAGAATTTTTTTATCTAGAATCAGAAGATGTTTCCAAAATGAAACAGTGGCATATACAGTGAAAAATATTCACCACTGATCAGCTGTAAAATTAGAAAATTCTTCTCCTTCATGAATTTTACCTGGAATTCAACCCAGATCAGAAAGAATCTGAAACTCATTCATCTTTTTCTGAATCTTATTCAGGAAATTTGATATCAAACCCCTTATCAATTCAGATTTATTTTAATATCCATCATGTAATGCCTAAAAATAGGCAATGTATTAGATCGATTGTGATATATTTTATAGGGTCAAATATGGCAAACGTAATAATTCAGACTATCTTACACCACTTTGCTTTACAAATCGTTTTCATGAAATGTCCAAATTATAGCGTCTTCATTTTAACGCATTTGATGATGCTTAATTGAATCTTGCATAATAAACTAATCATCGATATTATCCATTCTGGCAAAATTATGCTGATAATCTTTATAATTTGCTTTTTTTCGCATCTATGACATGATACTAAGGCCAAAATATCTTCACATATTTTTTAGCAGCTAGTACATCATATAAAATAAGAATTAAAGCTGTACAAATATTCTTTCCTTCAGAATGTTCATATGTTTTACCTATTATAAATCCATCCCAAAGTGATTCCAATTCATCTATAATTAGTGCAAAATAGTGATTTATTTTATGTAAACTAACTTTGCTTAGTCTGGGTAAAAGACTAAATGTTAGTAAATTTTCATGTTTAAATCAGATATCATGAGGCAAATTATATATAGTGGCATATATTACTCTGATATTATAAATAATACCACCATATGGTTGGATTCAGTCGAGATTTAGCATTAATCCAAGATGAGAATTTGCCACTTCATTTCAAAAAAATTTGCTGAATTTTCTTGTGAAGATTCTTTTAACATTTGTCATACTTTACAATCATATATATTAGTCATAATGTTATTAAAACACTGATAATTTGTCCATTGTCTCAGACTAGTTTTAAAAATAGACCAATGATATATAGAAGTGAGTTGTTGTCAAATTCCAGAAAATGGAAAGATTAAATTAAGTCAAATTAAAGTTCAATTTATCAATACAATTTTTTGAAATAACAGAGTATTGCAAAATTGTGTTTTACAAATTGATGAATTGGAAAATTCTATATGCTGACATTTTATTACAATCGGCATATGATTCTGTTAAAAATTCACTATTTATGTTTTAATACAGCTTATGATATTTAGAATAAGAAACGAAATGGTGAAATCAGTCATTTAATCCAAGTGCTTTTTTTATTAAGTATATTAAATTTAGAAAATTTCTAAATTCGT